GCTTGAGCACAACTACGCCTTGGCCCTGCGGGCCCCGCCCCCGCCCAAGCGGGCCCCGCCCCTGCCTGAGGCCCCAACCCCTGGCGACCTGCTGCCACCTGAGCTCTGTGGCGGCCATGAGATCCTCGAAGCCCCCGAGGAGGTGGTGGGTGAAGCGGCGGTGGCCATCTTGGATGAGGGCGCCAGCTCAGACAGTGATGAGGAGGATGAGGATGAGGACAGTGGCAGCAGCAGCGGCGGGAGCAGCAGCAGCAGCGAGGAGGATGCAGGGGCAACGCGGCGCCGCACCCTGCGCTCCCACGCCCTGCCCCCGGCTCCGCCCCCTCCTGCGGCCCCGCCCACCTTCGAGCCCCGCAGCGAGTTTGAGCAGATGACCATCCTGTATGACATCTGGAACGCCGGGCTGGACCTGGAGGACGCCCAGTACCTGCGACGCACCTATGAGCAGCTGCTGCAGGCCGATCGCGCCACCGACTGGCTCAATGACACCCACTGGGTGCCCCATACCAATATCCTTCCCCAGAGCTGGGTACATTTAGCCTTATATATGGTATCACTAGACAGCGTTATATACAGCTGCTCCCCAGAGCTGGGCGCATCTTGGCCCTCCAGCTGCCCCACCTCAGAGCTGGCTGTATCCAGGGCCCCCGGCTGGCTCAGGAGACCGGAGGCCAGGGTGTTACTGCACCATTGCCCACATTGTCCACCCCAGAGCCAGCTGCATCTCAGCACCAAGTCCCCCGAATCTGGCTGGTTTGGGGGTGGGTTATTCTACTTGGCCACTCATCCCCACCCCCCCAGTGCCAGCCTCACCCCCCAAGCTGTTTTTCCTTGACCCCACGCCTCACTTACCAACACAGTGGTGCCCAAGCGGAAGCGGCGCTGGCCCGAGGTGCGGGAGCACCAGACAGGCTGTGCCCGCAGTGAGGGCTACTACCCAATCAGCAAGAAGGAGAAGGACCGGTACCTGGACCTGTGCCCCGCCACTGCCCGCGAGCCCGATGCCCCTGACACCCAGGTGCGCTTGCTCCCCGACATTATGCTCCACCCCAGAGCTGAGTGCATTGCTGCTTTTCCTATGTGGGGTTATATTTGGCCGTTCCCCAGAGCTGGGTGCAATTCTGCCTTCTGTATATGGTGTTATACTTACTGCTGTGCCTCAGAGCTGGGCACATCCTTGCTTTCCTGTGGTGTTACACTTGGCCATTCCCCAGAGCTGGGTGAATTCCTGCCTTACCTGTGTGGTGTTATATTTTGCCATTCCCCACAGGTGGGTACATCTCAGCCCTCTCTATATGGTGTTATACTCAGCTGCTCTATCCCAAAGCTGGGTGCATCCCTGCTTTCCATGTATTGTGTTACACTCTGCCATTCCCCAGAGCTGAGTGCATCTCTGCTTTCTCTGGGTAGTGTTATACTTGGCTGTTCCCCAGAGCTGGGCACATCTTCGCCCTCACTATGTGGTGCTATACTCAGCCACTCTGCCCCACAGCTGGGTGCTTCTCATCACTCCCTACATAGTGTTATACTCGGCTGTTGCACCCCAGAGCTGGATGCATCCTTGCTCTCTTTATATGGCCTTACACTCTTCCATTCCCAGAGCTGGGCGCACCCCCACTTTCTCTATATGGTGTAATACTCAGCTCCTCCGCCCCAGAGCTGACCACATCACCCCCTGCCACGTAGGGTGTTATACTGGGCCATTCTCCACCTGCCCCCCTTCCCATGGGACATTATACTCAGCCCTTCCCCAGCCACCCCACCCCAGAGCTGGGTGCACCTCTACCCGCCCCCCCATATGGTGCTACACTCAGCCATTCCCCACCCCAGAGCAGGCTGCATCTCACCCTTGTGTTATATGTGGCTATTTCTCCCCAGAGCTGGGTGCATCTCCGCACTAACCCCCCCCCCCCCCCC